GACTGTGTCTTCCGCATTGATCAGCACCAAAAGGCACCTTAAGACCAAAACACATGCCGAGCATGCGTCTCAACTTGACGGAATAAGTAAAACGACACTGAGGGTAGTGGTATTTCACGATCGCCGAAGCTCCCACCTATGCTACACCCCTCAAGTCGTTCCACAGAGTCGGACTAGAGTCAAGCTCAACAGGGTCTTCTTTCCCCGCTGACTCCGCCAAGCCCGTTCCCTTGGCTGTGGGTTCGCTAGATAGTAGATAGGGACAGTGGGAATCTCGTTAATCCATTCATGCACGTCACTAATTAAATGACAAGGCGTTTGGCTACCTTAGGGGTGGGAATCTCGTTAATCCATTCATGCACGTCACTAATTAGATGACGAGGCGTTTGGCTACCTTAAATTTTAAAAATTATTTTTTATGATTTAGTGTCATAATCTCGTCATTTAAAACCCCCAGGAGGCGATTTTCTGTCGTTTTTCGACACGCAAAATCACCACCTGGGTTCACCGCGAACTAGCGGGGGGTGTGGGAGTAGTGAAATCGTCCTTTTGGAGAAGGAAAAGAAAGAAAGAGCAAAATTTTTTAACTTTATGGAATTTACTGTGTGCTACTCTTCACTTTGCTCTGTTTTACTGCATCTAGAACTAGGTGCAGTCCGACGCGCAGCGGAGCAGCAGCGGCCCGTCGCCCCTGAGCCGACGGTTATAGATCTCGAAATGGAGGATGTGTCTGACTTCCACAGTGCAACCTCCGACACCTCTAGTGACAATGAAGAAGGCCCGGACGAGCGGGCAGACGAGAGGGAGGAGATCGGCGCCCTCGTTCATGAGGGCCCCACACCTGAGCGGTCGTCGATCACGACCCAACAGGCATCAGCAGAGGAGGGGTCTTCGGGTGCAGATGACCAAAACAGCAGCCTTCCAGGTCATCAACGCTTGGCCCCGAGTGTGGGAGCAGCACCACTACCCCCAAACCAGCTGCAGGGGGCCCGAAGGTGGCCCAGCCGCGAGCAGCTAAGGGAACTGGTACTCCAAACTATAGCACTGCGCAGGGCAGCCGCCTGCAGCAGCAATGAAACTAGACCATCACCACCTTCCTCAGCTCCCAACCACTCAGAAGACACAGCATCCAGCGGACTGTTTGTGTTTGGCACACAATCCACAGCTGCTATCGCAACAGACCTGCCCTCTAACAGTAGCACAACGGAAGCAGGAGGGCAGGAAACTCACCAATTCCGTTGCCCCAGCTGCAACGTGGACTTCCACAGCAAACGTGGGTTGGCCAACCACCTCCGGCGGGGCGCAACTAACCGCTGCGCCCTGTTAAAAGCATCACTCATCAACAAAGAACAAAACATACCCACTCCATCGGATCCCAAAGCCACAAAAAGGAACCGAGGACGGCGCAGAGAAGGAGCGACAGGACCTCAGGGTGACCCGAGGGGCCACTCCACTTCCCCTAGAAACACGAAGAAACGACATAGACCCCCAGATTACTCTGAGGGTCCTCCATGGG